CTGGTCCTGGTTTGACTCAGTTCTTCAGACTTGACTGGGTCAGATGTTGAAGTTCCTGCTTCATCACAGGCTCTGATGCTGTTGAGTGTCTGTTGGTGACTGAAGCTGGCTCTCACATGAAGCTGCAGACTTGACTTGGATCAGTCAGTGAGGATATAAGTCTGGTCCAGCTGCTGAAGACTGAAAAAAAACAGATAAAGTGAACATACTTTATATAAATATTATATGTTGGGGTACTGGTTAAATGAAGCTCTTTGGCCCAAATTATTCAATTCTTACACTATATGGTCACTACTACACACTCTAGAATTGTATTTACCCTATATATGTTTTTTTTTTATTTTTCAAATGCTCATGTTCTCTCGATCTACTTATTGGCCACCTCTGCTGTGAAGCAAATATTTGGTGAAGATGGGATAATGTTTTGTATCCCATGCTGTGACAAAGCAACAGATAAAAGATGATTAAAAAGAGTCTAGTCCTCTAGACTGAATTTCTGTCTCTTTTCCAAAGTACAGTGGGGCTTCAAGATACAAGCTACTCAAAATACCAGTTTTACAAGTTACGAGTAAGCAACTTTTGCAAGATTTTCTTCGTGATACGAGGAAACATCAATTTACAAGTGCTCAACTGAGCTCCGTTTTTTTACCATTATTATTTTACACTTTGCTTAAATTCTCTCTCTCTCTCTCTCTCTCTCTCTCTCTCTGTCTCTTTCTATCATCACAGTCACTCCCTGCCCTTCTGCTACCTTAGTGGTAAAATAGTGAGAGTCCCTCTCTGGCTTATTTTGCCCATTTTCATAACAATAATATAAATTGTTTTCTTAATTATTATAATTTTACATTATCAATTTGTTTGTTTATTTCTTTGTTTTTGATGTTTAGATGGGGGGTTAATTTAATTTAATTAATAGTATATTTCTGAGGGGCTGGAATAAATAAATTGGTTTTGAGGTATTTTTCATGGGGAAAAGTCCTTCTAGATACGAGTGGATCGACAGACGAGTGCTGTTGTTGAACGGATTAAACTGGTATCTAGATGTCCCACTATAGTTCCATCAAGGGACACTGGACTTCAGGTTTTTCTAAAGATGTTCCACCTCTCATCCAATAGGCTGTTTCAGTGACCCAGCGACTCTAACACCCCCCAACCCCTCCTCCCCCTTGATCTCGCCAACGACCCTCTCCTTCAGGTGTTCAGCCTCTCAGAGGTTAAACACCAGAATCTTCCCAGCAGTCAGTTAGACCTGAAGAAGCCTCTTGGACAAAACATGGATTAAATACCAGCTGCTGAAGAAAATCAACTTTTCTCTTTGTCTTTTCTTCTTTATTCAGGTTGTGTAGCTGCAGTTTGTCAGAGATCAGCTGGTCTTCTCTTTCCTCAGCTCTGAAGTCCAACCCCTCCCATCTGAGGAAACTGGACCTGAGCTTGAACCTACTACATGATTCATCAGTGGAGGTTCTGTGTGGTTTTCTTCAGAGTCCACTCTGTGAACTGGAGACTCTGAGGTGAGTTCACTGACTGTTACTGTTGTAAATGTCAAAGTGAAGCTGAATCATCATTACACTCAGATGAACCCCTGATTATAAATGAATGAATTCTGGTTCTAAACTCTGATTGTTTCTCTGTCTTCTCTCAAATGGATCTAAGTGTTTTTGGATTCACATGAAAAACAATTGACTCTTTTTCTAATTTAATGACAGACTTTCCACCACGGCTCCACTGGTTTTTTTGGTTTATAATCTGCTGAGTGAAGTGTGTTTTATAGCAGAATATAAACTGATTTTAACTGAACTAATCTGATCACGACTGAACTGAACTAATCTGATCTGATTTCACCTTCATCTCTTCTAATATACAGTAACTTAATGTTTTTATCTACTAATCTTATTTTATGTCATTTGAAGTCAAGTACTTTAATCTCAACAGAATAAAACTAATAATCACTGTAATCTAATTAATATGATCTAATCTATATAAGAGGTCGTACCAACTGAATAATAATAATATTAATAATAATTTGAAGTATTACATATTTTATCTGATCTGATCAAATCATGTCTGAATTCTAATCTTCCCTAATCTAATCTGATCTAATCTAATCCACAGAAACAACCAAGTTCATAAAGAGTCTGTTGCATCAACTGTGCTGCCTTTATTGTTTAAAATATAAAGTTCAGTTGACATGTTTATTGACTTTAAGAAAAGGCCTCGGAGTGAGGACTCTTTTTTGTAGTGTTGAGGATCTGAGTTAACGTGAGCACTATGGTCTTTGGGCCTACAAGAATGTAGAGTGCTCCTCACCTTTGATGTTTTTTTCACTCTTTGTAACAATTTTTGTAACAGTTTTGTTTTCTGTAACTATTTTCAGTTTTACAATGAACAGGAAGACTTCAATAAAAGACAAGAACGGCCAAGTCTTGTGGTTTTTGAAGCAGTTCAAGCTGTTAGCTAACTACTATTCTAATCTGATTTAATCTACAACGTTCTGATCCAGTCTAATCTGATCAATATTATAATCTTGTCTGATTTAAGTGGATAAAATCATATCTGATCTAATAATAAATATATGTAATAAATGTTTAATAGATTTAGACTTTCTTTATTGTCATTGCACAGAAACACAAAAAAACAGTGAGTCTGGTAACAAAATGTCGTTGCTTGTCAACCGGAGTACACAGTACACAATCCACTAAATTCAAGAAAATCAACTTTTCACTTTGTCTTTTCCTCTTTATTCAGGTTGGAGAGCTGCAGTTTGTCAGAGATCAGCTGGTCTTCTCTGGTCTCAGCTCTGAAGTCCAACCCTTCTTATCTGAGGAAACTGGACCTGAGTGGAAACAACCTTCATGATTCATCAGTGGAGGTTCTGTGTGATTTTCTTCATAGTCCACTTTGTGAACTGGAGACTCTGATGTGAGTTCACTGACTGTTACTGTTGTAAATGTCAAAGTGAAGCTGATTCATCTTCACACTCAGATGAACCATTGATTATTTCCACCACTGCTCCCCTGGTTTGTTGGTTTTTAATCTGATAAGTGAAGTGTGTTTCCAGCAGAATTTAATATAATCTAATCTGATCTGATTCCACCTCCATCTTCAACTTTGTCAGTAAAAGTTAAAAATAAATTCTGCCACTTCTACTGTGAGACTAATCTTATGAAAATACAGGCTGGTGGTCTGCCTGCTGGGCATTGCTGCCTGACGCACCTCCACCAGAGCCTTTGTGCTGGCGTGCTCATCTGAACATCTCACTGTGTCACTAGTGGTGCCAACTTACTTCAAAGGTGATTTCCTCGGTATGATCAAGGGATGGGGATTAGGACTGTGGCTGGAGAATTATTGGGGTCATCCTTATACTTACCTTCAGGGTAAGGGAAGAGGCTGAGGTAAGGGATGGGGTGGAATGGGGTGTATTACTGGATTGTGGCTTTTTCTGATTAGCTGGTTGTTTCTTATAAATTGACTATCTTATTGTAAGACATATCTTCAGTAGTGGACCTTGGGATCATCGAGTGTTTTGGCCATTATCACTAGACACTCTCCCCCTAGGAAGGCCCCGCTGGGGTTGATCATGCCCCAGGGTGTGTCTAGTTAATTAATTACTATTAGATTTGTCAATATTGCTTCCTAACTTAATCTGTTGGCCTTTTTTTGAGCTAGAGTTACAGTTTATTATTTAATTATGCCTATTGTATTTGAGATTGACTATTGCGGGTAAGTTTACGTTGAAGTGAATGGGTCAAGCTTTGTTTGGCCCCCAACTCACCTCTTTCCTCCTGAGCCACAGCCAAAAGCTGCCCTTCTCTGCTTCTCCGCTGGAGATCCCAGCGGAGTTGATCATTTGATCTCATTATAATTTACTGCATTAAATCCAATCTCCTCTATTCTGAAAACAATTGTTTGTTTGTTTTCTTGAATTTGTCAATTCTAATCTAACCTTATTTAATTTAATCTGTTAAAAACAACCAAGTTAACAAGATTCTGCTGCTGCACCAAAATCTAATCTATTCTAATCTAATCTCCAACGTACTGATCCAATATAATCTAATCAAAAACCATCTGTTCTAAATTTATCTAAAGTAAAATATTATAATCTTTCATCTAATTTAAGTGGATTAAATCATCTGATCTAATAATAAATATTTGTAATAGATGTTAAATAATCCACTAAATTCAAGAAAATCAACTTTTCTCTTTGTCTTTTCTTCTTTATTCAGGTTGAGGGGCTGCAGGTTGTCAGAGATCAGCTGGTCTTCTCTGGTCTCAGCTCTGAAGTCCAACCCCTCCCATCTGAGGAAACTGGACCTGAGCCTTAACAACCTTCATGATTCAGGAGTGAAGGTTCTGTGTGGTTTTCTTCAGAGTCCACTCTGTGAACTGGAGACTCTGAGGTGAGCTCACTGACTGTTATTGTTGTAAATGTCAAAGTGAAACTGATTCATCTTCACACTCAGATGAACCACTGATTATAAATAAATGAATTCTGGTTCTAAACTCTGATTGTTTCCACTCTGTCTTCTCTCAAATGGAGAGTGTTTTTGGATTCACATAAATAAAAATGGACTCTTTTTCTAATTTAATGACAGACTTTACACCACTGTTCCACTGGTGTGTTGGTTTATAATCTGCTGAATAAAATGTGTTTCCAGCAGTATATAATCTGATCTAAACTGAATAATCTGATCTGATTTCACCTTCATCTCCAAAGGTCTTGTACTTTTACTTCTGGACTTGTCTAATATACAGTAACTTAATGTTTTAATCTAATCTTATTTTACGTAATTTTAATCTGATTTTAATATTTTAATCTCAACAGATAAAAAAACCCTAATAATACTATAATCTAATTAATCTGTTCTAATCTATAGAAGAGGCCCTAACCAACTGAATAACAATAATTTGAACTATAATATAATTTTATCTGATCTGATCAAATCATGTTTGAACTCTAATCTTCCCTAATCTAATCTGATCTAATCTAATTGCAGCACATCTTGAGGTCTTCAAAGTACTTGGCTACTAAGGTTCTGATGGGGCCAGGGATATAGAAGTCCACGGCATAGTTGATGAGTTGATGGGGGACGGATCCATATGTGTTGGCAAGGTCCAGCCATACCACATGCAGGTCACCTTTTTCGCCTTTTGCTCTTTGGATCTGCTCTGGTACACTTGCTGTCTGGCAGCTGGTGTCAATGTACCTGTTGCTAGTCAGGTAGTTGGTCAGCCTCTTCGCCAGTACGGAGAAAAAGATCTTTCCTTCGACATTCATGAGCACGATGCTCCTGAACTGACTGATGGTGGTGGATATTGCCACCTTTGGGATAAAAACTGTGACTGCCCTTTGCCACTCTGAGGGGATGACTTGGTTCTCCCAGGCCACCCTCATAAGGTTCCACAGAAGTTTCTGGACCCTTGGGCAATACTTGTACAGTTTGTAAGTTATCCCATTGGGGCCTGGAGCTGAGGCTGCTCTTGCATTCTGTAAAACTTCTGCGACCTCACTGACCTTAGGGAGAGCAGCATCAAATGGGAAAGATGCAGGGGCTTGGCGAGGAAAGTAACCAGGAGATCCCAGCGGAGTTGATCATTTGATCTCATTATAATTTACTGCATTAAATCCAATCTCCTCTATTCTGAAAACAATTGTTTGTTTGTTTTCTTGAATTTGTCAATTCTAATCTAACCTTATTTAATTTAATCTGTTAAAAACAACCAAGTTAACAAGATTCTGCTGCTGCACCAAAATCTAATCTATTCTAATCTAATCTCCAACGTACTGATCCAATATAATCTAATCAAAAACCATCTGTTCTAAATTTATCTAAAGTAAAATATTATAATCTTTCATCTAATTTAAGTGGATTAAATCATCTGATCTAATAATAAATATTTGTAATAGATGTTAAATAATCCACTAAATTCAAGAAAATCAACTTTTCTCTTTGTCTTTTCTTCTTTATTCAGGTTGAGGGGCTGCAGGTTGTCAGAGATCAGCTGGTCTTCTCTGGTCTCAGCTCTGAAGTCCAACCCCTCCCATCTGAGGAAACTGGACCTGAGCCTTAACAACCTTCATGATTCAGGAGTGAAGGTTCTGTGTGGTTTTCTTCAGAGTCCACTCTGTGAACTGGAGACTCTGAGGTGAGCTCACTGACTGTTATTGTTGTAAATGTCAAAGTGAAACTGATTCATCTTCACACTCAGATGAACCACTGATTATAAATAAATGAATTCTGGTTCTAAACTCTGATTGTTTCCACTCTGTCTTCTCTCAAATGGAGAGTGTTTTTGGATTCACATAAATAAAAATGGACTCTTTTTCTAATTTAATGACAGACTTTACACCACTGTTCCACTGGTGTGTTGGTTTATAATCTGCTGAATAAAATGTGTTTCCAGCAGTATATAATCTGATCTAAACTGAATAATCTGATCTGATTTCACCTTCATCTCCAAAGGTCTTGTACTTTTACTTCTGGACTTGTCTAATATACAGTAACTTAATGTTTTAATCTAATCTTATTTTACGTAATTTTAATCTGATTTTAATATTTTAATCTCAACAGATAAAAAAACCCTAATAATACTATAATCTAATTAATCTGTTCTAATCTATAGAAGAGGCCCTAACCAACTGAATAACAATAATTTGAACTATAATATAATTTTATCTGATCTGATCAAATCATGTTTGAACTCTAATCTTCCCTAATCTAATCTGATCTAATCTAATGAAGTTTCTGGACCCTTGGGCAATACTTGTACAGTTTGTAAGTTATCCCATTGGGGCCTGGAGCTGAGGCTGCTCTTGCATTCTGTAAAACTTCTGCGACCTCACTGACCTTAGGGAGAGCAGCATCAAATG